GATGTCCCCCCACCGGCGCACGGTGGCGAATTCCCAGTCGAGGTCTGCGGGGTCGAAGCTCGATGCGAGGGCGTCCTCGATGATGGAGAGCGCCGTCAGACAGCGGAGCGAATGAAGCGTCGCGTCCATGCCGGCGAGAAAATCCTGTCGGCGAACCAGTGTCAGCGAGAGAAAGCGCGTTGAAGACGTGGGCCACACCTCTATCTCCAGGGGCTGATGTACGCTGGACACGTTGCGGACGGTGAATGAGGTCAGGCTCGCGCCGCATTTAGCCATCGCAGCCAGCAGAGGCGCGTCCCAGGTGATGAGGATGTTCTGCACATCGAGCAGCGTGGTACCGGAGGCCGCTATCGTCTCAAAGAAATGCCCAAAGTCGCGTTGGGGCGCGGGTCCAGAAGATGATGATATGGGAGGCGCGGGAGTCGGGACCACCGCTTGCGCGACGACCTCCGGCCCGCTGAACATCTGCAGGTCTGAGAGCTGGATGGGCTGAAGGAAGGTCCCCACCATAACAGAGGTATCCGGGACGGGATCCAGCGATAGTCCTCGAGCTTAGAGTGCAGGTGCAGGAATGGCACGATATCGGCGCAAAATGGATGGAGCACTCGCGCAAGCGGGTAAAGTGGATAGTGGACATAACAGTGAAGATCTTGGACATGTCGCAGCGTCGATGTATTCCACAGACTGTAGGTTGTTGAGCGCAGTCCTTAGCAGCCGGTAAAATGCCCCAAGCAGCTCCGGGGGGTCTGATCGTCCGATCGACTGAGTAACTGAATTTAGCAAGGAGTAATGGACTTGAAACATACACACAAGACGAGGACCGGCGGTTTCGCAGACTGGATTTGGAAATAAACGTTTTCAGACAGCCGATAGCGCGAGTAATATCGTACAGCGCCACAGCGCGATATATCCAGCGCAGGCAGACGCGGTTCATCCGACGGTGAGTTTGGGACAACGAGAGCAGGCCATTGCGATCCCGTATTCTGCGATGCAGTCCAGGAGCTCGACAGGGAGGGTGTGAGTGAGACCGACATCTGCTTGTCGGGGCCGTTGCGGTCAGGTCCGACTCGGAGCCACGTCACATGTCTGGTCCGAGATCATGCCGGGATGCCGACAGCACCGCCACATGCTGGCTTTTATTTCTCTATTTCTTTCATTCCCCAACAAATTCCTCAGCGGCGGGTATGGCACCCCGCCCCCCGCGGGCGCATACGGCGCGGCGCCTCCGGCGGTGTGCACGGCGCGCCCCCGGGTGCGGATCCCCATTGCGCATTTATTTTTCTCCCTGTGGCCACTTTCGTTTTGTCTAATGGGTACGGTAGGCTGTGGAGCTGGTTCACGTCGTTCGACACGGAAAGATCGGGGGCAATCACCACGGTGGAGCTGCGTGCGTCTCTCCCTCTTTTCCCGTCTGTTTGCACCGTCTGATGCCCGCACGCAGAGCGCGCGCTGATCAACGGCGATTGGACCGGGGCGCATCCTCACTCCCTCTTTTAAATGTATGGTGCTTATCGTGTGCTAGCGTTCGAATTCGACACCGTCAAGCTCCTCATGAGAATCTTCGACACGAACCGCAGCGGGACGATTGCGTTCAACGAGGTGCGTCTGCATCTGCGTTTCCAAATTCCAAATTCCAAATTCACACCACTTAAATCCACACCGTAGTTCGCCGGCCTCTGGAAATACATCAAAGACTGGCAAAACGTGTTCAAGCACTTCGACCGCGACCGCTCCGGTTCGATTGACGGGTCCGAGCTGCGCGACGCGCTCGCGCGGTTCGGGTACAACTTCAGCCCCGCCGTGCTGCGCCTCGTGCAGCTCAAGTATGGTGCGTGTGCGTTGCTTGTCTCCCTTCCCTTCCTTGATTTCTTGCTTCTTCCGTCCGTTTGACGAATGCTCAGTCGCCGAACCCGTTACCAAAGACTCCACGGGGGGAATGGGACACGCAACAGTAGGAAGCGGCCTGCCGGGCATCTCGTTCGACCGCTTCGTGCGCGCATGCGTGGTCGTGAAGCAGCTGAGCGAGGCGTTTGGACCCCTCGACGCGGACCGGGACGGTGGATCCAGATTGGGTACGAGGGGTTTATGGAGACGGTTTTGAGTTTGCCGTGAGTGCGGACGCATTGGGACGCACTCGGGAGACGGCGAGCGCGAAAGGGAGGTGGAGGGGGGAGAGTAAAGGGAGGGAGGTGTGTAATCCAAGCAACTCGAGTTCCGTTTTCGTTTTATTTTTTTCTTCTTCTTCTTCTCCATCTCCTCTCCGTATCCCTCTTCCGCTAAGTAATAAACACTGTATGTATGTACGACCGCGATCGTGCACCTCTGCGCCTGAAAATTGTGTTGTGTTGCGTTTTATTGTAGCTTGCTTTCTGGGCGCCTGGGCACTTGCGAGTCGGGAAATTGCGAGGGCACTTGCGGATGCGGACAAACGTACTGGGATGGAGGTGTTATTAGCGTGTGTTCGCTGAGTTTGATGTTCGTTATAAGTTATGACTCATGAATCGCATACTTGATATTGGGAGTGTGTCTCTCGTTACTTACTTGAACACCTGACGCTCGTGGGGCGTCATTGGCAATTGATTGCTGTGGTATGAGCAGGAAAGTCAGAAGGTCGGGCGGGAGGCGGGAAAAGAATAGGATAAAAAGAGAGAAATCGAAAGGAATGGCTTGACCCGGGATCGCCTGCGTAATTGGCGCGCGAAGATGAGGTAAGAACAGCAGGAGCACTAGTCGTTGCGCTATCAGGCCACACTCAGGGTGTTATCTCACGAGCTACGTAGTCGATTTAAGAAACAGAGTTCGAAGGATTGAAAGTAACTTGACTCGGAAGCACAAATAGAGCAGGGATCTTTTCCGTAAACATAAACACTACAGCCCGTCTAATCAACGAAGCGGCCGTATCCTCTGCGTCCAATTCCCATCGCTCCGGATCCAAGACGACACCGTGGGCGCGCAGTAATCTCCGAATGATGGTATTTTGTCCAGCACTCACTTAACATTCCGCGTGATGGTACCGTGTTTCTTGCACCTGCAGTGCGAGGATTATAATGCGAGGGGATCGCGCACCACGGATGAACAATGAATGAAGAAGGAAAAAAAGGCAACAAGAAAGGTACAGTAGATGGGCGTGGCCTGACCCGGAGTCGAACCGGGATCGCCTGCATGAGATCATGACTGCAGTAGTCGGAGCAGGAGCACTAGCCGTTATACTATCAAGCCGCCTATCTTGGTACTTCACAAATTATAGACCTTGAAGAAGATCGAGTTTGAACTTGTTTTTGGTTGATTTGCCTTCCGGGTGCAGTGTGCAATGTAATATTATGTATACATACGGACGGTGTAATTAGATAGACGGGCAAGTATTCTAGACCTTGAACCCGCCCGCCAGCTGCATGACCTTTCCTGGGTCTACCCTTTTCGCAATCGCCGTCAACCGCGCCAAGTTCAGCGCCCCAAACAACTGCTCCACCGGTGTATCCGCCAGCGCGAGGTTCGAGTACGTTGGCAGCGTCATCCCGCTTTGCTTTGTCTCCGCCGCCTGGATGCGATCGACGCTCCCCTGGAGTGCGGCCAGGTTTGCCGCGTCGTTCGCGGCGCCGGCCCACTCGAAGCCGAGGTTGCAGAGCGATGCGCTGTAAGGGCGCGTCCAGGTCGGCGGGAAAGCGCTGTCCGAGGTGCGCAAGGGGTCAGTACGCGTGAGGTAGCCCGGCGAGAAGGGCTCGATGCTAAAGCCAAACCCTGCGGACGAGGAGTTGGCGAGCAACCCACTGTTGATCTTGTTTGTGTGTTGTGAGCGAACACCGAATGATTAAGCGCTGCAGGGGAGAGAGACGCACCGAGATCTCGTTGATAACCGTGTCGATGATCTCGGGGGTGTAAGTCTCGATGAGGACGATTCCGCTCTGTCCGCTGTGGAAAAGGAGGACGCATCAGCCACCGCAGCATTGTTTCTTTATCCGACGTACCGGGGCTGGTCGCCTGTGCCCCCACTCAGGAGCCCGCCGACGTTGACGGCGGCTAGCAATCCGCTCATGGTGAACGTACCGTTGCTATTAACGAGTGCGCTAGGGATATTGAGGAAGGCGTCGTAGATCCCCGCAGGCTGCTCCGGCCCGTCGTAGAACATCACCGCATACTGGATCGACTGCCCGCCGATCCCGTTGAGCCCGAACAGCATGGCGGCCTTGGGGTCCGTGGAAGTGGCGTTGAACACTTCGAATGCGTCCTTATACGCTTCGGTCGCGTTGACATGCGCGACGAGCGCGCCCTGCAAGTGCAAGTGGAAAGTTCAACATGTCGCCCGTGCCAGATGGTGCAAAACGCACCCAGACACGCGTGTACGGAATCGCGCGCATGGTGAAGGCGGTGACGATACCAAAGTTGTTGAGCCCGCCCTGGGGAAGCGGTGCAACTCCGATCAGATACGCAGTCAGACGGCAGCATGAGACGCCCGCACTTTGAGTGCCCAGAAGAGGTTGGGGTCAGACGAGGCGGTGACGACGGACTCGGTTCCGTTGGGCTGGACGATGTCGAACGCGAGAATGTTGTCTACCGCCATGCCGTACTGGTTCGAGAAGAAAGAATAGCCTGCAGTTTAGGGTGAGTCCAAATATCGCTCAATGACTCGCGAGTAGCGTACCTCCACCGAGGAGGAAGCCCGCAGCGCCGACGCCGACAACGCGGCCACCGACGACGGTGATGTTGAGCGGGTCGAGGGCCGCGTAGATGTCGTTCCAGACCATGCCCGCGCCGAAGGTGACCACACCATTCGGAGCCTGTCGCTGATACTGGCCTACGCCAGATTTCAAGGCGTCAGCGGCGAAGAGAGGACTACTGAGATCGCGAGACGCACTGGTCTTGCTGTAAGCCACAGTATTAAAGCGGGTCATGGCAATTTGGATGCCCGGCGTGGAGCTGAAGCCTGGGTTCCACGAATGGCCACCACCCTTGACCTAAATTTCCCGTCAGCGCCAGAGACCGTGATAGCAGGAGCATACTGCAAACGGCGTGCGAGTAGAACCGACGAGTTGTAGCTGCAGAAGTGCATCGGTGAGAATACAGTTTGGCCCCGGGGCGAAAAGGCGCGGCACGCACGATGCGGGCGACGTCCTGCGCCGTGCCAGGCTCGACTGAGCACACTGATTCCTGGGTGGACGAGGACGCTGAGTGGTGGAAGATGTCGGCAGCGTACTCGGACGAGCCTAAGCGCGTAGCGAGCGAAAATGAGCACATATGGAAAGATACGACTAGTCCATATGCACCTGGATAGAAGACGGCACTCGCGTTTGACAACTTTTGCGCGATTTCCTGGCAGACCGCCGTAGCGTTTATAGGCGCTGCAGCCCATGCAGGGGATATCAAAGACACTGCCGCGGTAACAACTAAGATGAGATGCATTGTGAAGAAAAGCGACAGAGGGATAGAGAGAGATGCAGCAGCGCATACCTATTCCCGTCGTTTTAACTCGGCCCTGTGGTCGTGGTGTTAACTAACCGACATTGCGAAACCAGCGCACAATTCCCCGGATCTTCCCACGGGCTTACACATCACAATTGGTCATTATGCATCTGCATAGCAAACTCGATCAGATAAAGCGAGTAGGGCCGACAAGCGGCCCGCTACCATTGCTAATTTGTAAAGGCCAGGGCACTGCAGGAGAGATATGGGTGGCCCAAAGTTCGCTCGAGCGACGTCGCAGGCGTCCCGCGACGTCTACCAGCTCACATTGGACCGCGGGAAGTAGCCTAACTAGACTTAAGGTGTTTATTCTGAAATAAAGGAAGGTGTCTTGTGTAGGGTTGAACCAGACGAAAACCGTCATAGACAGTCGGGCGAAATCGGGGAGAAAGTCGGGCAATTACACACCAGAAATGACAAATAGTTTGCCACAAAAGGCGAAAATGTGATGGTCCGCCAAAAAGCACTTTGATGCGCACGGTGCGCCCCCGTTCGCGCCACAGGGGGCGGACGGGACGCCCCTGGTGTTCCGCCACCCGCTCGTCGAGCAGTGTACTACGGGTACTGGCGCATCGAGCCCTTCCACTGCAGGGTGCGTGTGACTATTCTTCGCTCTCCGTCTTCGCACTGCGCGCTGACACCCCGCACCTGCGCACACAGACTTCATCACACTCCACCCCGAGCACATCGCGCGCAACAACGCGCTCGGCCCCATGAGCGACGACGGCGGGAGATCCATAACCGGTGCCATTGTGCCCGCGTGCTTTTCTCTACTCGCCCGCTCCATGTGCGTACAGATACGCATCCGACGCAACCGCGCGTGGCTGGGGTCAGCTGCCCTCGCAACCCGACCTGTCCTCTCGCTCTCGAAGCAACGAGCTCGCCGCTCGTCCGCGGCGCTGCAGTGCGGGAGAAGGTGCCCGCTTCTCCCTCCGCCGGCGCTGCACTGCACAGACATGCGTCGCCGCTGCCCGTACATGTCCGTATCTGTCCGCGCGCGCACCGCCGTACGTACCTCGCAGCCTGAGCGCGGGAGCGCGTGCCCGCCCTCTTTCCCTCGCACCCCGACGCCAGCGCTGCACAGACATGCGTCACGTCCGCCGTATCCGTACTCGGCTCCGGCAGCGCCACGCGGTCCGAGTCATGCGCTCGCGTGCGCTTGCGGCCCGTTGTACTGCTACACATGCACGTACGCACCTGCAATACATCCGTTTGCCGCCGCCGCCGAGCCCGAGTCCGAGATCCTAGTGACAGTGAGGTCTGCGTACATCGGTCAACTGTCTAGCATGCAAGATGAGCTTTACCGAGAACTCTTGAGTCGGGATCGCGACAGCGCGAGTGCGGGCAGCGTCCAATGCTTCGAGCCTCTATTGGTATCCGGGTGAGCGAAGACATTGGACATGTTATTAACGTCCCGAATGCGCCGAGTCGGGGATGGCTGTCAAATCCAAGGAGTGGTGAAATTTAACAAAGACGCTGGGGTTGTAGTTGCGGGATATCAGAACAAGTTGAGCCGGCTGAGACACAGATTGCTTACCTTGAATTGCCGAGGGGATTATGCTACACCGCGAGATCTCGCTGTCAGCGGCGAGTCAGCGCGCAGCGGAATTTCGCAGAGGCAAGGGGACATACTGCGCCAAAGTAGGAGTCGTTGGACTCCGTTCTGAAGCATGGCATGGTGTTTGACGCGAGGAGGAATGGCACTACGCTTCGTTCAGGGGAATGTCCGAGACTGAAGAAACCTGGTCAGTCAGCTGAAAGAGTTAGGACAGTACGGAGGCAGACCCGATGCGGTGATTGAAGCAGCAGTGTACAGGAGTGGTCAGTTGCGCTGAAGGTATATTATTGGGCTTGATTTCAGTTGCGAGGGCAGGTTATGAGTGCTTGACCTGGCCCGCGAGTCGTTTCAAGCGGGATGGAGGCTTCGTTGGAAGCCAGAGTATTGAAAGCTACGAGGATTGGTCAGAAATTTGAGCAAAGAAAAGAGGTACAATGCGACGCATTGAAAATCCCCATCACGCTACTGGGGCGCAGAGCACCAACTGGGTGAGATTGAAGTAAAACTGCGAACAAGTATCAGAACACTGTCATTGCTTGAAATCTAAGATTGCTTACTTCGAGCTCGGTGAATCGAAATGAAATTCGATGGGCAGGGCCCAAGTAAACCTTGGTTATTAGAACGAGCCTGGGGAGAGTACTCAAAGATTCCCTACCTCCAGAATTAGCCGCGGATAAGAGTGCTGGGGCGAGTATTGCAACAGGCTCAGCAAGAGAACTCATAGTCCACTGGTCAAATGACCTTGATGTAAACCGCCGAGGGCTAAACGAATGCATCGACGATTACTTACCACGAATTCGTTATATTGAAACTGCACATGGTAGGAGCTCAAGTAGATAAAACTACGGTCAAAGGCGGGCATTAGAAAGAATCCAGGTACAGTAGTCAGAGATTTCTTACCTGAATTTGAGAACGAAACGACAAAATGGGCTGGATGCTCGACAATTGAGGTGGATGTAGTTCTTTTTTTCCACCCCATATCTGTGCAGGAAGGGGCTCGATGTGGACCTCAGGACTACGTGAAATTGTTGGACGTAGTGTCGTTGAAAATGCCCAACGAAAGAATCACATCATTGATGCCATCAAACTGATCGGTTCAGTGTTTATTTTATAATCATACTTGAGGTCATTCTGAATAGACAGGACCATTTGAAATTCATTCACCCTGCAGCATATATAAATAATTGTACAGTTGGATGTGGGA